CTAAGGCCAATGGTCCGTCTTTCTCCCCCCCCTCCCCCCCCGGACAGATTCACAATGATAACTTTTTAAGAACATTGGACTCAATCCAATCATTGTATGGCAGCTTTGCAAATAAACCTATGTAAATTACTATCCAGAAAAACGTTGGCTAGCCTGCTTGCCTTTGCCTACCTGTGTGACCCACTGATTGTGTGAAGGAATAGAGGAACTAGATCTCTCCCAGCTGCCATATGTTCACTTCCTTGGTGGTTGCTAGATTAGCTCTAGCTCACCACAGGTGACTAGTGGCTCACAAGTCTGGTGTAAGGTAAAATTAATCAAAAATATTTGCTTCCTTAATGTCTAGCAGAGCCCAGGTATCTTGTGGGAGCGATACACAGACTTGTATGAGTTTCAGACTATTTAGGACCTGGATCCCTTGAACTGTGAAACTTTCCTAAAATATAGGAGCTTCAGACTTGTTTGTGTCTAATGGCAGCCCATGCCTAGCAGCTGGGCAGACAACATCTGAAATGAAGGGGAGATTCTAAAGCAATTTGTGATCTAGCATTGGAGGGGTGTCAGCTATTCACAGTTTTAAAAAGTCAAGAATTCTATGTGACTAGTGCAAGCATATTGTGTAAGCCTAGGCCACTGTTTGGATTACAAGCAGTGTTCCCTCTAAGCTGAGTTAGTGTGAGCTGGCTCATAGTTTTTTAGCCTCCAGCTCGCTGATTTTTGCCTTAGCTCAGGAAGGATGGCTCCAGAGCAAACTAATTTATGCAGTAGCCAAATAGTTTGCTCACAACTTTAATGCCAGTAGCTCACAATGTAGAATTTTTGCTCACAAGACTCCACAGCTTAGAGGGAACATTGATTACAAGTGATATATATTTGCTTGTCATATTATAGATGAAAGCTCTTCTGCAAAAGTAGCTGTCTTTTTCTTGTTACAGTGCTGGTTACATTGATGGTACTGTAAGAACTGTCATATTTGTTTGCTTTGAAACTTTAAAATCTACCCATTTTCATTTGGAATTGTGCCAGGTTCATTAAACTGGTGGTCAGGTCATGACATTTAATTATATGCAACCAGAAAACATGGTGCCCAGTTTGAGCTCCTTCTCTTAAGTCTGTTTTTGATCAGGCTCTCTGTGATGGGCATTGCCTTTCTGTACATTAGCTTATGAGCTAGTAGTGTTTCAAAATGGACCACACTGTACTTGATTTGGATTTTTCACCTTGTTGCCCTGGTGAAAGCACAAAAAACACTGTGTTGAGCACCTAGGTCAGTGGGAAAGGTCTTGAGAAGATACGGTGTGGAACAGAAGCTGTTGGGCTGAAATGACTCCCTGCTTTTATTGGAATGGCTAATATGCAAGCTCATTAGCACTGTCAAAACAATATGAGGCTAGAAGGAAGTGCTTGATCTCAATGGAAGTGGAAAGATCTGAGTCAGACATCCTCTTGAAGGCATTAGGAGCAAGTTGTAATAAATGCTCATAACAAGGCTGTCACTAGAGTAATAAACTAAGAGCTCGAAGCTGAGAATGTTGACTGGTTGTGCCATTAGCAAATGAAGGGCAGCTGCTTCCCTTATACAATTGCCCCAAGGCAATTGCCATTGGTGCAGCCAGAGGCAGAACCCTACATGAGATCTGTAGATTTACCATGTACTTGGAATCTGGTTATTTGGTGCCCTGAGAATAATTTTATTTAAACATAAAAATAAGTCTCTGGCCTTTGGAAAGGTTATTTAGAAGCAAAATGATGTTACGGTAGGGTTCATGTTGTAAAAGACCAGAGCATCTTCCATACTGTGGCAACTATTCATCTTAGCAAAATATAATCATCCCACAGACTCAGTAAGTTAAGGCATAATTCCCGTTTCACAGATGGGGAACTGATCCAAGAGTGACTTGCTCAAGTGAAAAGCTCACTGGATCCTTTGTCTTCAACAAAACAAGGAGAGCTGAGTCCCTTTTTTGTGCATAACTTGCTGCAAACAATGTAAGCTGCTTCACACTCCTCATGTGGCATTAAAATGTTTAAAAATGTTACGTTTGTCTTCAGCACGAGTCACACTGCTCCCTTCAGACAGTCTTCTCCTTCTGGTGCCCTTTCTTAGGGCTGCCTGTTTGGCAATAGACGCATCACAAGGTTTTCTCAGTGGTAGGCCCAGTCCTCTGGAGTGGGTGCAGAGGGCACCTTCCTTGGCTGCATTAAGGAAGGTCTGCAAGACGGTTTTATTTCAGAGGGCATTAGGTGGAGGGTAAACTGCTTGGCTGTGGTTTTATGCTGCATATTGTTGGGTTTTTATTTTGGTTTTTTTATCTTGATATTTAAGTTATTTTTTTTGTTCTTGCAACTTGTTGCTGCTGTTACCCACCTTGAGTCTAAAGACAGGAAGCAGGATATAAATACTTCAAATAAATAAAAAGTTAGATTGTAAGCAGTCTAGACTGCCTCATGTCTGTGTATTTCACTTCATCTCACCCATCGTTAGTGATGTGGGGCAGAAAATTTTCTATGGAATATTTGTCCACGGAAAACTTTCCTCCCCACATATGTACATATATTCTGTTTATCTATAGTTGTCAGGGTTGTTGTGCTGTGTATCCATCATATCATATGGGCTGACTGTGAGATGAAAAATGGACTGACCCCAGTGCTTTTACATAGTCCAAGCATGTATGCGGTGTACTTGTTATCTTTTGCTAACATGATTTAAATTTTGGTGATGCTATTCAAGTATTTAAATTTGAATCCAAAAATTTTCTGATTCAGATTTTCCTGAAAAACCCATATCACTGTCCACCGTGGATGAAAAATAAATATTTAGGCCCTGTACATTCTGACACAGCTGTCCATTAAAAAGCTGAATTCTCAGAATGCTCTAGGAAGCTTCTGTTCTTATAAGCAGAAGTGATGCTTGCAAAAACTCAATGTTTTGGACTCTCTTTTTTTCCCCTTCCCTGTTGCAGACTACTGCATGAACCCCCAGACAGTATTACTACTCCGGGTTATTGCTGCTTTTTGCTTCCTGGGAATTATCTGCAGCCTCTCAGCCTTCCTGTTAGATGTCTTTGGACCTAAACATCCTGCTCTGAAGATAACTCGGCGCTATGCATTTGCCCACATCCTCACAGGTAATGTCACTGGTAGGTGGGGGACTGGCCCTCTCTTAGGTTTCCTCTGTGATGCTTATCTTCACGACCCTTTTCCAACTGAGTTTTGAAATCCTGTAGTGGAGTTGGTTCTGGGGCTACCAGATACCTGGCACAGCTCCAAGCAGATGTATTTGGCAGCTGAATAGTATCCTAGGCAGTGGCTATGTGGTGCCACATCTTTCTCTTCACCCTCCCCATGAGATAACTTCAAAAAAAACCCAACACCGTTTTCATTAATCCTTTGTCTTAATCCTAGTGAAAATATACCCCAAATATGTGGAACTGCATTTCCTATAGGCTTTGTTACCTTTTCCCTCTATGGATTCTCTCCTTTGTTATGTCAAAACACTGTGTGAGCTCACTCCTTGGGGCAGACCTTGGGCTTACACTGTGAAATGACACATATCAATAGGATTACATAAATAATACTCTAACAGTTACAATAAGTTTGCTTTGCCCTCTGCATGGGGCAATGAAGTCCTTTGGTCCAGGAAATTACACACAGAAATATCTGAAGCGCTATGCCAACCTAGTGTAGGCAATAGGACCTCACATCTGTATGATCAGATTGTGTTTTTAATACTTGTTAATTGTCATGCCACTTTCTAGTGCAAGAGAGGGAAAAGCCAGAAGCCAGGTGTTTATATACTTCATCTGTACCCTACCTTTCTTCCCAATGGGGACCCAGATTGGCTTACACTTTACAATTCTCCTTGCCTCCATTTTATCTTCATGACCACCTTGTTAGATTGGTTAGGCTGAGAGTATGGGACCAGCCCAAGGCCAGCCAGCAAGCTGCCAGGGCTGAGCAGGGATTCGAACCTGGGTTCACTATAGTCCAACACACTTAACTATTACATACACCACATTGGGTCTCTTGTTGATTTTGTCTCTGGCAAAATGGCAACCCATGATCAAGAACATGTCTCTTAAGTTCAAAGGAACAGAAAAATGTGTGTCCACATGACTTAAATTCAGATTATCAAAGCATTGTCATTTTATTTCATTTTCACCTTCCAGCCTTACATGTCCCATCAGCTGTATTCACAGTTCTCTTTATGAAGTAGTGCTGGGGGTAAAGATGTTCTTTGCATCACTGAGGCAGGCGCCATGCGACTCTGTGTTGTGGTACCAAGCTGCTCAAGCAGTTCCTTCACTAAGTCTCCTTGCTTTCTGCTTCTGCCCTCAGTGCTGCAATGTGCCACAGTGATTGGGTTCTGTTACTGGGCCTCTGAGCTGATCCTCGCGCAGCAGCAGCAGCACAAAAAGTACCACGGCTCACAAGTCTACGTTACGTTTGCTGTCAGCTTTTACCTGGTGGCTGGAGCCGGTGGGGCCTCCATCCTCGCCACAGCTGCCAACCTGCTGCGCCACTACCCCACCGAAGAGGAGGAGCAAGCCTTGGAGCTCCTCTCTGAAATGGAGGAGAATGAACCTTACCCAGCAGAGTATGAAGTGATCAACCAGTTCCAGCCACCTCCGGCGTACACACCATAATGCTACCATTGGCTGACTGGAGGGGGAGGGATTAGACTTTCTTCCAGTCCACGCCCCCCACCCCCAGAGCCTAGCTGCACACTTTGGCTTGGGAATGGATTCCCTTGCAGAGCCACTTACTGGTGCTTCTTTTCCCAGGTGGCTCACTTACTTCCAACTATGGAAAGAACTGCCTTTGGGGGATCACCCGAGCAGGGGTTTTTCCTTAGGCACTGACCTCCAGAGCAACCCTTTGTTCTTGGGTGGGTTTTCTGTTTGTTTTCTAGTCCCCTGCATCATTATGTCAAGTGAGTGGCTGACTGACCAGCGTGACCCAGCGGCTCTGTGCTTTCTCTGTGACTCCAGTGACTGGCGCTGCTGTGTGGGGGTCCACATGCTTTGCAGTCCAGTGCACATACTCCCACTCCAAGAGGAAAAGCATAGTTGCTCCAGGAAGAGGGCTTTGCCTTGTATGTGACAGAGATGGCACGTGCACAGCTTAACTGGGGATGAGCCACAATTTTGCATTGTGAGGAGATTTTTCATGCTGGCATAACTACTCAGAGTAGTGAATTCAACAGTCATGCACTGTTTATTATCCACCCAAGCTCAATGCGCCTCTTTCCTTTTTTTCAAAAAAGAAAAATGTGATTTGCATCAATATTTACATTGGGGGGGCGGGAGAGTGTGTTCTGCATTTAGCACACTTTAAGGTGGGAATCTGGTCTCTATGCACTGGTTTGTGGGGAGGTGACTCCTTTCCATTGATATATGTACTGCCTGGAAGGCACGGTACGCTTGCTGCCGCCCCTGCTTCATCCACTCCCACATTCTGCCTCATGCTACTTAACAAAAGCATTTTGCACTTTATTTGCTGTTCATGCAGCCCCCCCCCCCTTCCCTCCCCAGGTACTTAGAGGAGGGAGAGTCAATAAAACTTGGCAGAACCAGCTCCAGGGTATTGCCACTATTGAGATTCTCTTGGATAGGTTTGTAGGTACTGGACTTGATTGGGGGTAAAGGAACAGGGCTTGGCCCACAGAAGAAGTGCTGTTCCAGTTGGGGCACACTGGATTGGCACTATTGCTACAAACACACAGCCTACGGTAGGCTTAGGACGCGTTTTTAAAACACACTGGGTTTAAAGATTAACAGTACTGAAATTTGTTCAGTGATCATCATCTCATCTAGTGATCTAGATTATATGCAACTACCCGGCCCCAGGCATGATTTTAATCTATTTTTACTTAAACCTTTTCTAACTACCCATGGTCCTTAGCCCGTCTAACCCCAAAATTATTTCTTCCAAATTAAGTGGGTATATTAGGGAGGGTCCTGATCATTAACAGAATGTGATATAAGAGCCTCTGAAAGTGAAGAGAAAAATGATTGATTTCCCTTTTGTTTGTGCATATTGTGGTACACTGAGCTAAAATCACTTAGAATAAGCCAGTGATTTCCCTTACTCACTGAAGCCATCTGTTGTTGACTGAGGCATGGCTTGTGTAGACTGGAAAATGTGGGAAGGAAAGTGAAATAAACCTATCAAGGTTGTAGTTCTTGCTTAAAAATGTAATGCCCTTTGAAAGAAGAGGAAATATTTAAATGTTTCCGTGCTTTCAGTATGGGATGTGCTCTTACTCAGCTTAAGATGAGGTTCAGTTATGTGTCAATACCTGATTAATGGTACTGCCTGTATACGAACACTGAACCTATATCCAGTAGGCAGTGCTGTCTTGTCTCCCTCCTGAATTAATATCTTGGTTTAGTGTACCAGCTTCTCTCTGTCCTTCCCATGTTTGTTCTAGTTCTTGCAGGGGAAGATATGCACAGGGTAGGCTGGCATCAGTCAGTCCTGGCTACTGATATGAAATGTTAGAAGTCCGTCTATAGAGGAAGGCATGACATGTTAGTGGCTTTTTTGGGAGAGTGGGGCAAAAGCTCCAATTAAATTCTAGAGTGAGACACTTGACCCTCTGTTGTGTCATCTGAAAGACGTAGAGGAAAATGACTGTGCTTTAGAGTTCCGTAACAGTGCAGTGTGGGGGGAAAAGTAGGAAGAGCAATTGTTCTTTGCAGAGGAACAGCCCGCCAAAGGCTTTCATTGCACTGCAGTCCAATGGATAATCTGATGCAAACTTGGGTACACAGCCAAAAAGAGAGTATCCAGTGGTTCAGCCTCTAATTTTGTGTCCTGTTCTTGCTATCTGATCACCCTCGGCTCCAGGAAAGGACCTATCAAGAATTCACAAAGTGGACTTCGTAGCACCTTTTGGGTGTGGTGCGAGTGGAGGTCATCCCTTCTCCTCTCCATTCAGTAGTGTGCTGCATATGAGAGAAGAGTTTGACTGTAAATAGTGTGCATAATTTTACTGTCTCCACTTAAACTCTAATCTTTGGATCCTGAAGAGATTGATTTGAAGCCTGGGGATGTTTTTGTTGATTGATTTCTTGCAGTTGTCTCCTTCACTGGCTCTGGGAAGGGAAAGCAACCCTGGCAGCACCTCCCTGTGCCAAAAGGAGTTGGATTTGTTTCTGGGATGGAAATGGCTTCATGCAGCTGTTTTCCACAGATGGGACTTGACCAAAATTGATTTCCATGTAATCTGTGTACTTGGTTACTGTGATCACTTTTACACCTTGAACATCATTCATGAGGCACTGTTGATTAAATCTGTGTCTAAAGTCTTGGATTCCTTTTTCTACCGAAAATAAAACAAGGATGTAAATAGTCTCTCTTGGAGTGCTATGACTTTGGCTTGTGGTTCAGTAGTGGGGACATTGAAATAAGAATCTTGTACAGGCTCCCTGTTAGAATATATTCACTGAATAGTGTTAGTATTGGTTTGTGTGCAACCCACATGCTAAATAACCAAATATAATGTACACAAAACAAGATTGTTTAGCATATATGTAATAAAGCAGCACTGTTTCAAGACTTCAGCAGCAGCCACGCTACTGCAGAACTGCAAACTGGCGTTTAGTCTTTACCAGCCTGCCTTGAATCTGTATGCACCTGAGATCACACAGCAAAAAATGTGGATTTCAAATATCTCTGAAAGCCTGTAATGCATAGTAAAAGACAAAGTTAAAATCAGCCGCTGAAAAACTGTATGCATATCTTCACTCGCAGTGCTTGCCTGGATAAAAAGTTCTTGCTTCACAAGGCCACTTGGAGTTCAGAAAAAGGAGTATCAGGAGATTGTTTATATAGCACTGTCTTGAACAGAGTGCAGGCGAATGCAATCCAAGAGGGGCTTCACCTCCCAGGAGCTTACACTAACTGTTTATATGGGAAAGAACCAAAAGACAGGTAGTGCAACTATCTCACAGCAGGGAAATGTCAGCTGACACACTCTTGATACATGAGGGGGATATAGTCTGTTTAAAAATGTTAAAAGTGAAGTTGTTGGGGGAAGAAGAAAGTGTGAGGATCACCTTTTAAAAAAAACATACTGAAAAATGAGAGCTGCACAGATAAGGTGTACTATTCCTCTAAATTATTTTGAATTGGTTTGGTGTCTTGGTTCCTATGCCTGAGGTTTACAAAGCTGCCATTAATTTTGTTCTCAAAACACTATCCAGCTTACTAGCTGTCAACTTGGAGATGTAACAATGTATATATATATATAATTTTAACACCCATGCTTGAGAAAATGGGGTGGGAGTGGTAAAGAATAGCATAGCAAGATACTCTTCGTTCCATTTCTTCCCCCCATGTACTTAGGGTTATCACCAGTTTCTTCTGAGTTCAGTGTACTTAGCGGCACAGCCTTCTGGCTGAATGATGCATGCGTACCTCATTTGCAGTGCTAAAGATGAAAACAACTTTAAGTTAACTTTTTATCCAGTTGATTGCTTTTGAAAATGTGTGCATGTGTTTACATCTCCAAGAATAGGAACAGAACTCTCAGATTACTTTGTTTAATAATAACAGCTGCTCCTAATTTTGTGTTATCTTTAAAAAGCTACATTTTGGAACAAATAGGTCACATGCATTATGTTTGAGGGAAAATGTTTTTAAAAGAGCAAGTTCAGAACCCAGCAGTGCTTTAGAAAATGCAATTTTTAAAGGTGTACTGATGTTGCTGAAAATGTTGATTCGAGGCAGTGTTTGGAGAAATCCTTTAAAACTTAAGAACATAAGAGACAACAATGTTGGATCAGGCCAAAGTTCCATCCAGGCCAACACTGTGTCACACAGTGGCCAGAAATACCAGGTGCCATCAGGAGGTCCACCAGTGGGGACAGGACATTAGAAGCCCTCCCACTGTTGACCCCCCCCCAAGCACCAAGAAGACAGAGCATCACTTGCCCCAGAGCCCCTATCTATACCTTGTTGCTAATAGCCACTGATGGACCTCTGCTCCATATGCTTATCTAATTCCCTTTTGAAGCCGTCCATGCTTGTAGCCGCCACCACTTCCTGTGGCAGTGAATTCCATGTGTTAATCACTCTTTGGGTGAAGAAGTACTTCCTTTTATCCGTTCTAACCCGACCCCTCAGCAATTTCATTGAGTGCCCATGAGTTCTTATATTGTGAGAAAGGGAGAAAAGTACCTTCCAACCCTTTTATCATTCGAGTTGCCCTTTTCTGTACTTTTTCCAAAGCTATAATATCTTTTTCAAGGTGTGGTGACCAGAACTGCACACAGTATTCCAAATGAGGAAGCACCATTGATTTATATAGGGGCATTATGATATTGGCTGATCTGTTTTCAATACCCTTCCTAATAATCCCCAGCATAGCATTGGCCTTTTTTTATTGCAGTCACACACTGTCTCAACATTTTCAGTGAGTTATCTACTACAACTCCAAGATCTCTCTCTTGATCAGTCTCTGCCAGTTCAGACCCCATCAACGTGTATTTATAGTTAGGATTTTTGGCTCCAATGTGCATCACCTTGCACTTGGCCACATTGAACCCCATTTGCCATGTTGACGCCCACTCGCCCAACTTTGACAGATCCCTTTGGAGTGCCTCACAATCCTCACTGGTTTTCACCACCCTGAACAACTTCGTATCATCCGCAAATTTAGCCACTTCACTGCTTACTCCCAACTCCAAATCATTAATGAACAAGTTAAAAAGCAGTGGACCAAGTACTGATCCCTGTGGTACCCCACTGCTTACACCCCTCCACTGGGAGAACTGCCCATTTATACTCACTCTCTGTTTTCTATTAATTAGCCAGTTTTTGATCCATAAAAGGACTTGTCCTTTTATCCCATGATTTTTGAGCTTGCTTAGGAGCCTTTGATGAGGAACTTTATCAAAAGCTTTCTGGAAGTCAAGGTAAACAATATCTATTGGATCCCCCTTGTCCACATGTTTGTTCACCCCCTCAAAGAACATTAACAGGTTAGTGAGACAAGATCTTCCCTTACAGAACCCATGTTGAGTCTGCCTCAATAGGTTTTGTTCATCTATGTGCCTACTAATTCTTTCCTTAATAATGGTTTCCACCAATTTACCCGGTATCGACGTCAGACTGACAGGCCTGTAATTTCCCGGATCTCCTCTGGAACCCTTTTTAAAGATGGGAGTGACATTAGCTACCTTCCAGTCCTCAGGAATGGAGGCTGATTTTAAGGAGAGATTACATATTTTTGTCAGGAGATCCACAAGTTCACAATTGAGTTCTTTCAGAACTCTTGGATGTATGCCATCTGGGCCTGGTGATTTATCAGTTTTTAAGTTGTTTATCAGTTTTAGGACCTCCTCTCTCGTCACCTCAATCTGACTCAGGTCTTTCAACACCCCTCCCGAACTCAGCGGCTCTGGAGTGGGCAAGCACCTCTCATCTTCCACAGTGAAGACGGAGGCAAAAAATGCATTTAGCTTCTCAGCCATTTCCCTATCATCCTTCAGTACTCCTTTTACCCCTTGGTCATCCAAGGGCCCCACTGCCTCCCTGGCTGGTTTCCTGTTTCTAATGTATTTGAAGAAAGTTTTATTGTTGGTCTTTACATTTTTTGCTATATGCTCCTCATATTCCCTTTTTGCATGCCTGACCACAGACTTGCATTTTATTTGCCATAGCCTGTGTTCTGTTTTATCAGCCTCACTGTGACTAGCTTTCCACCGCTTAAAGGAATCCTTTTTACCTTTTACAGCTTCCATTACTTTGTTTGTTAACCATGTAGGCTTTTTCTTATACCTGTTTGTGCCTTTCCTAACCTGCGGAATATATTTTATTTGAGCTTCTAGAATTGTAGTTTTAAACAGTTTCCAAGCTTCCCCAATGGTTTTGACCCTTTCTACTTTTCCCTTCAGTTTCCTCCCCACATGTCCCCTCATATCAGAAAAATTACCCCTTTTAAAGTTAAAAGTGGTTGTGTGAGTCTTTTTGGCCAATTCCCTATTTGTACAAATGTTGAACTCAACAACATTATGATCACTGTTCCCAAGCGGTGCAATCACTTTTACATCTCTCACCAGGTCTTGAGTGTTACTTAGGACCAAATCAAGGATCGCCTCTCCCCTGGTAGGTTCCATGACCATCTGCTCCATAGCACAGTCATTTAGAGTGTCTAGAAACTCAATCTCTTTCTCTCGACTAGAACACATATTGACCCAATCAATGTGTGGGTAGTTAAAATCACCTATTACGACACAGTGTTTTTGTCTAGCTGCTATCTTTAATTCATTCATCATTTTATAATCCTCCTCTATCTTTTGATCCGGTGGGCGATAACAAACTCCCAGTGTTAAGTTTCCTTTTGGCCCCCCTATTTCAACCCACAGAACTTCAAGAAGCGAATCCAATTCTCTTAGCCTCTCGATCTTTCTGGACTTTATACCCTCTCTGACATACAGAGCTACCCCACCTCCAACCCTTCCCCCCCTATCCTTCCGATATAATATATAACCGGGAATCACCGTATCCCACTGATTTTCCTCATCCCACCAAGTTTCTGAAATACCCACAATGTCTATTTTTCCCTCTGACACCAAGCACTCCAACTCCCCGATTTTACCTCGGACACTTCGAGCATTTGTATAGAAACAGCTGTAATTTCCCATACTGGTTAAGCCTGCCACCTTCCTCTTGCAATCTCGAGACCTTGTCAGGCAGTCCATGTCACTAGCCATGGTCTCAGTGGACAATTTCAATCCACCTCCCTGTAGAAAAGCAACCGGTACCCCCTCACCTCTCTCAGATGAGCCAACCCGAACCAGAGACTTTTCATCTCCTGTCGGCTTTCCCCCAATATTCAGTTTAAAAGCTGCTCTGCCACCTTTTTGATTTTAAGTGCCAGCAGCCTGGTTCCTTCTCGGGACAAGTGGAGACCGTCTCGCCTGTACAGCTCCCTCTTGTTCCAAAAAGTATCCCAGTGCCTAACAAACCTGAACCCTTCCCCTCTACACCATCGTCTCATCCACGCATTGAGACTCCTGATCTGTGCCTGTCTCTCCGGCCCTGCGCGTGGAACAGGTAGCACTTCTGAGAAGGCTACCTTGGAGGTCCTGGCCTTGAGTTTCCTGCCCAGCAGCCTAAATTTCTCCTCCAGGACCTCACGACTGCATTTCCCCACATCGTTGGTGCCGACATGCACCACGACCACTGGCTCCTCCCCAGCACTATCTACCAGCCTATCTAAAACACGCGTAATGTCCGCTACCTTCGCACCAGGCAGGCAAGTCACCATACGGTCAGTACGCGGGTTCGCCACCCAGCTGTCTACCTGCCTAAGGATCGAATCACCCACTACCAAGAGCCCCCCTCCCACCCTGCCCAGGGATGGTTCCTTGGTGCAAAAGGATAACCGCTCACCAGCTGGGGAAGAGGTCCCTTCTGAGGGCACATTCCCCTTATCCTCAGCACGGTGCCCTGTTTCCCCTAGACCCTCATGCTCCCTGACAGCAGCGGGGCTGCCAGATCCAGAGTGGGACGTAGCTAACAAGTCCCCGAGAGTCTTTTCTGTGTGCCTAGCTGACTGTCTCTGCTTCTCCAGGTCAGCCACCTTGGCCTCAAGGGAGCACACACGTTCCCTGAGAACCAGGAGCTCCTTGCACCGAGGACACACCCAAGACTTCTGCCCAGTGGGCAGATAGTCATACATGTGACACTCTGTGCAAAACACTGGATAGCCCCCAACCCCCTGCTGGCATTCTGGCTTCATAATTCTTTTAAAATAAGTAAATGTAATCCCCCTTTTAAATCCCTTTGTATTTATGTGTTTTTTTCTTGTCAAAGTCAAATTACTTTATGGGGAAAACAAAGAGCCTAGGGTTTTCACTTTCTGCCTCTTCTTGGGTGTCTCACAGAGCCCCTAGTCCAAGAGTCCCTGGGCTAAGACCACGGGCAAAGAGCGCCCTTTAGCTTGTCCTTTGGCTCGTGCCAGAGGCTCGTGCCTCTGTCAAGGTGCTTTCTTAAATACTCACCCCTCTGTCTCCTGCTCCTGCTCAGAGCTCAGCTGGGTCTCCTCTGCCTCTGGCAAGGTGTTTCCTTAAATAGAGGCCTCCCCCAGCAGAGGGCTGGCAGCAGCTATTCAAATGCACCCAGGCACTCAATCACAGTCAAACAATGCCCTTTCCTCTCCCTCTCTCAAGCAGCCAGGAATCTGCAAAAACTCCAAGTGCTTCCCCACACTCCCAGACCAGTTCTCCCACCAAAATCCTCAGCTCTCAGCTTCTATCATGACAAATGTGATAGCCTTGACCAGTGTTCCCTCTAAGCTGAGTTAGTGTGAGCTAGCTCACAGTTTTTTAGCCTCTGGCTCACACATTTTTGTCTTCATTCAGGAAGGATGGCTCCAGAGTAAACTAATCTATGCAGTACCCAAATTGCTCACTCACAACTTTCATGCCAGTAGCTCACAAAGTACAATTTTTGCTCACAAGACTCCACAGCTTGGAGGGAGCATTGGCCTTGACATGCCTGGAAAACAATTCTAAAGGCCCCTTTTTATCAGATGTTTGGGGAAGCTGCTTCGTATTTGTATGCTGTCAAAGTGCTCAAATCCAGGAGTCAATTCGTAGAAAAAGAGCTGCAGGAGCTCATTAGCATAACTTATTGGCATATGCCACACCCCCTGACATCACTGGAAGTGTGCACCAGCCCCTCTGACAGGCAGAAGCACCTCGGATCCATTTCCCCCCCCTCTCCCTTCCCTTCGCCTCCAAGTCGGGCAAAGGAAAAGGGGAGGGGGAAGATCTCAGGCGCTTCTGCCTGACAGAGGTGCTGGCGTGCCCACAGCCAGCCTGGGTGAATTATAGAATCATAGACTCATAGAGTGGGAAGGGACCTCCAGGGTCATCTAGTCCAACCCCCTGCACAATGCAGGAAATTCACCAATACCTGTCACACACCCCAGTGACCCCTGTTCCATGCCCAGAATATGATAAAAAAAAAACCCTCCAGGATCACTGTGGGCCAAACTGGCCTGGAGAAAAATTGCTTCCTGGCCCCAAAGTGGCAATCAGCATTTCCCTGGGTGTGTAAGAAAGGGCCACAAGAACTAAGCACTGATGCAACCCTTCCTGCTCTACCTCTTGTGATTTGCCTAAGTTCACACAATCAGCATTATGATCCTTTTAAAGTTGAAGGCATGATATAAATGCAAAGGACTATTTGTAAGATTATCTGTAAGACACAAGACCAGGACGCATCTCACTTCTGGCAATCACTTGGAGAGACCCTATCACTCAGCTTCCATTGCCCCCCCCCCCACACTGGAATAAGAACATAATATCAGGCCACACCACATTGCAATAAAGCCCCTACAACTGTATACAGAAATACTGAACTTCCCTACCATTTGCCACAACTAGCCCACCACACAACCAGGATCAAGACTCCTAAGTGGACCAACAGACAGGCATACACTCGTTTGAGAAACTGAGTATTACATTACAACCCCTCTGGAACATTACAGATCAGTAGAGGCAGCACTGCACAGTGGTCAGAGTTGCAGATTGATGTGGAGAGACGCAGGTTTGTATTCTCACTCTGTTGGCTGAGTGACCCCTGGCCAAATCTCCCCTTCTCTACCTAACCTACCCCACAGGGTTGTTGTGAGGATGAAATGGAGACTCATGGCCAGGGTCCCCAGCTTCCCTGGCAGGAACACTATGTTAAGAAATCTCTCACAATTATGCAGCCATAGCAGGCAGGAGGTGAATACCTCCAGCACCAGAGACTTG